TTGATATCAAATCTTTTATACAAATGATACATATCATTAATTCTACTAAACAGCAAACGTGAAGTTATCAGTTTCACGGCCGATTAAGTAATTGGCGTTGGTGAAACTGGCTCAAATGGTGATTTTTTACGAGAAGCATCGTTCTATCTTTGTCATTCATTGAATATCAAATAATCGGCCGATTAAGTAATTGGCGTTGGTGAAACTGGCTCAAATGGTGATTCTTTACGAGAAGCATCGTTCTATCTTTGTCATTCATTGAATATCAAATAAAATAAAATTATGTTTGTGTCGAGTGTGTCCTTTAAAAGGAAAGCACCTTAGTTAATCTATTTTAGTCAACTGCTATTTATATACATATTAGTTTAGAACTTTGAAAATGACCCGAAGATGGTCGAAATGTTAGTTTTATGCAGACATATTTTTATCTTGTTTTTACCTTTATGTTTAAAGTCAATTGTATCATATATATATTAAAATTTGTTTGTTTTGGTTCGTAGCTCTTCTTATTTTAATTTCTTTTATTTAAATCTTTTGAGCCATTCTTTATTATGTATTTTACACATATAAATAAGAAAATGAGACTGCTTTCCTTTTGAGGAAACACAATCGACATAAATGTCGTTCTGTCTTTGTTATTCATTGAATACTAAAAAGGATAGAAGGATAAAACGACATTCACGTCAACTGTATCTCCTAATTAAAAAGAAAGCAGCTAAATCCCAGTGAGAAATGATAATGGAATCGACATAGAAATCATCAAATCGATGTCGATTCAACATCGATTTTATTGTCATTTCTCACTGAAATATCGCTTTTTTATTTTCGTTATGCGCAATCATTTTAACTTTTATATCCTAATACGTAGTGACAAACGAAATATTCCAAGTTTGCTACATTACAACTCGGTCATAATTCAAGTCTTAAATTTCACAAACCGAGTGAGTTAAAACATCCGTCTGTCAGCTTTATAATGGCTTAATATAATTAGATCGATAAAAAATACCGAAAGACTGCAAGATTTTCTTACTTGATATGTACAGATTCGTGATCGTAGCTTTTTATTATTCGGAAATATAAAGGCATTATTGATAGAAACCTCTTCTTCTCCTTGTTTGGCTCCGTCTCGAAGACGCCTGTTTCTTATTTGGAAACAAAAACCAGCTCCATCTTCTTTTTATAACTACTTCCTTATAAACGGAGATCATTATGGTCCAATTATGGTCAGAACGGAAAGGCTGGAACTGTACACTAAATTATTATGGTTCTTCGAAATCCAAATGAGACGATTACAAATCGTTACAAAGATGGAATGAGCAAAAAGAACGAAAACTCGATTTCGGATCATCTAGCGCCATCTATCGTATCCAGATTGTAACTAATTCCTCCGTTTATTAAGAGATACTATAGAGATACTATAAATTAGAAATACACTATAGAGATACTAATTTCTTTTAATTAGAGATACTTATTGCAGTATCTCTATGTTTAATCGTACACTAACGTCCTCTCACGTAACCATTCCAACTTCAGCACGAAAAAACGTAGGGAGGGGGAGAGCTTGAATGATAAATGAATGGACCAATCACGATCGCCATCGCTATGGGGAATAGGAATTTTCGAGGATGCCAAATCACGATTGGTCGATTCCGTTTAATGACAAGTACTTCATTGTTGTCCTTTATTTACGTATTAAGGTGCTCTTGAGAGATTCTCGATTTTGCTCCTATTCTCGAATTAAAGCAGATAAGCTTGACGCTCGGAATATCTTTGCACTGCACACGCAAAACTTTCATCCTCCGGTCGACGCTTCTCATCGTTTTATCGCCGGGAGTTCAGCGATTTTAGAATTACCGTGGAGTGACAAAAGTGACGTTTCCTTTTGTTTTGGTCGAGCTTCCACGTCTCGTGTTAATCAGCTGTTGCGATTTTTCGAAATATTGTACTGGATAGAGCATAATGCTCTAAGTGTTAACTTCTGAGATTAGTCAAGTTGAATTTTTATCTCAAATAGAAAACAATGAATTTCTCAGAGAAAGGGCTGGATAGCCTACTCAAGGAAGAATGGGTATCGAAACTGGAAGAGAACACCTACATACAAAAAATGTCAATGAACAACATGATCATGAATTATCTAGTCACAGGTAATGAATTCTAGAATCTATTGTAATCTGAAATAATTGTCGAGGTAATAAAATATTTCGATGTGATTAGAAGGATTCAAGGAAGCTGCCGAAAAGTTTCAACAGGAGTCGGGAGTAGGTCCGACGGTGGAACTGAGCTCTCTGGATGACAGGATCCGTATTCGAGACGCCGTACAGAACGGTCATATCCAGGAAGCGACAGACTTGGTGAATCAGCTGCATCCTGAACTGTTGGACAACGACAGATATCTCTACTTTCACCTGCAACAGTTGCACTTGATTGAACTGATACGCACAGGCAGAGTCGAGGAGGCGCTTCAGTTTGCCCAGGATCAACTCAGCGAAGCTGGCGAGTCAGATGATAATATATTGTGCGAGTTGGAACGTACATTGGCACTGTTGGCTTTTGATGAACCACATAAGAGTCCATTCAGTGACCTTCTACATCCCACACACAGACAGAAAGTGAGTATTATCAAGGCCGTGGCATACAGAAAAACTTGAACAGTAAGACATAAATAATAAAGGACTGTCTGCAAAAGAAGTAATATGGTACAGTAAACTGTAAGTCTTAAGGAATTGATCAATCACATAAATGTGAAGAGAATAATCGATTATGACGTAATTTCTCACAGTTCATGGCTTATTACACAATAGGCCTGTTCTTTTTAGCTGAACTTCTTGCACGGTTGATCTTTTCTCTTTTTCTTTCCAACATGGAGAGAAATTTGCAAGAACTTTAGCTAAAAAGAACAGACCTAATGTTATTTCTATTGTAGATGGTTCATAAAGAAATCAACATGTTGAATACTGTTTAGATTATAGCCTTACGGTTTCTACTGTGATGGGCCAGTACATTTACTGCTTACATTCTACAATAAGCCTCGTTTTTTGTTAAATTGATCTTGTTATTTCCTGATTGTTGTGCCATTATAGATTGCAAGCGAATTGAATGCTGCTATATTGAAAATGGAACATAGGGAATCTACTAGCCCTCGTCTCAATAATCTGTTGAAGATGATACTATGGGCTCAAGAGGAATTAGACAAGAAAAAAGTAAAATATCCCAAGATGACTGATCTAGGTAGTGCCACAATTGAAGATACAAAATAATTTTATAGTAGAGTGACTGAGAGCATTTCTCAGCCTTATTTCTAAATGCGATAAATGAATATTTTGAATTGATTTTTAAACGTAATTTTATGTAAATTGCTATATTCATTTTGTAGGAAAATATATTCGAATTTTAATCTTGTATAACAAATTAGAGAGGAAAATGGTGTGTAGAATTATTAATCTGTTATAATAAGAATGTGTAATGATTAATTTGATACATCGTTGTTACAATTACTGTAAGTGTAAGAGATAAGAATGATTATTGCGATTATTTCTTTGTCTTTTGGAATGTAATGTTAATATAACAGGTAGAGGTATTTTCAGAATTTGTGTACATGCAATATTTACTAGGAATAGATACGCGCAAATTAAGACTTACATATGACTCCGGCTATTAGCCTATACAAGATAATATAATTGTAAAGATACATACAAATATAACATGTGATAATATGCATATTACAATAGTCTTAAAAAAGTAACAGCCTTCACAGAGACGCTCTTATAGTATGATTTTCAAAGTTATAGAAAAGTTTATTTTTAGGATAATAGATAATAATTTCGTTTAATCTTTAAATTAATTCCGTTTAAAAGTTTCCTTCCAAAAGATTAATATATTGTTTATCATAGTTTCCTTTCTACAATTTTTAATATATTTTCAATATAAAGAGTTCAATGTATAATTATTACTAAAAAAAAAAAAACAACTACCAACCGAACACATATTCCATTGCTTTTGAAACTAAACTGGCCGACTTCTGTGGAACATTTTCTGGCATCTGCGCGGTTTGTGGACTAAAATGTTGATTATAACCCGCTGCTAAAGATCTCAGCTTTCGTCGTCTCGCGGTAGGCGATGAACTAAAGTGGGATTGACCGATTCTGCCCATTGAAAGTGACCTCATGCTTCCATTCAGCTTTGCACGGTTTTCCTTGTCGCAACCCAGAACGACGCCCTCATCCGTACATGGTATGACGCCAATCATAATTGTGCCCGAAACGATACTACCATTGCACATGAGAGCCTTTTGCGCTTCCTGCTCTGACGCACACTTCAAATGTATCCAGTTGCTTTGAGGTTGTGGAGCTGGATGTTTATCCACTATACGAACTCTACTGGAGATGTGAGATAGAACAGTGTTGACATCGATGGGTAAGAAACCGAAAACCGTTACCCATTGCAGTAGACTCTGCGATTCGCTTGTGCTCAAATTGAACGAATTATCTGGAAATATCAGTGGACTGGTTAAATTACTCATCATGAGTTTGGACTGATTTATAGGTGTGGCTGTGATAGTCGGATTTGTGACCGCCACAGATGGTGACATGTGCGTGACTTCTAGAGTGTCAAATAGTCCTCGCGTTGGCGGTCCTCCGGTATGGTTTTTTGTGTTTATTTGTGGCGTGCTAGGAGTCGTAGATCCAAACACCGCCTTCTGACGGTTAGACCGGTAATCCGGAGAGCCGTAGGAAACTGGTGACATTACACTGGTATTGGTTAGGTTCAAATGGCGTGGATTGTCTTGAGGACTTATTATGTTGATCTTGGCGGGCTGGAAATTTTAAAGAGAGATGTTAGCAATGCAGACTTGTATATTTTTCAAATTAATAATAAAATATATTTCTCACAGTGTTAGTATCACCCAAGAGAAAACTTGGCAAATACGAGGAAGAATTTCCTGGACTACCAGGACTTTGGACAGGACTATTCATCGGTGATCCTAGAGTCATAGGCTCCATCTAATAGAACAATTAATTTTATAAGACTTGATAATAAAAAGATTTTATTCTATTCTAAAAAATTAACGCAAAGTTAATATTATTTTATATAAAAGTTAAAAAAATTCTTTTTTATTATTTTTAGATTGGCATTAATATTTTTAACTAGACGAGCTTGAAATATTCTAATGATTTCAAAAAATGTTTTGTCTCCGAAGTGACAATTAATTTTATAAAACCTGAATAATATTTAGGAATAATATTAACAAAACTCTATTCTATTCTAACAAAAATTAACACAAAGTAATTATTATTTTTATAGAACGGAGAGAAAGTTTTTTTTAACTTTTTAGGTTATTTTTAGATAGGCACTAATATTTTAAATAATTAACTAGACGAGCTTGAAACATTTCAGTCATATTATATTTGGGTTACTTACGACCTCAAAAAATGTTTTGTACTCCGAAGTAACTTGCTGAGTGCTTCGATAAATAATAATATCTGTTTATCGGGAGCAAAGACGTTTTCGTTTTTATCTACGTAAAGAGGGCTCTGGAAGTCAGCTGGAAAACGAACGGACGGGCGGGCGCGGAGCCGAACGGCGAACCCCCAACTGCCCCCAACCTCGATGGATCCTTGATGACGCCATGATCTACGTCGCCGTGTCGCACAGCCGCGGAACGTGTAGGCGCGGATCCAGCCAGCCAGGCCCCCTTTTTTAATCATGAGTACCATCGTCCGCGGGTCCTTCCTCCGGACGTGAACGCATCAGCGACCGCCGTCTAATCCGGTAATCGCTCGCATCCCGTAACGTCCGTCCGTCCGCGCGGATCGCGCTCTTGACGTCGCGTAGAGAGCAGCGGTAGAGATAAAAAGCGGCTGCCGAGGTGTGTGCCCGCGCGAAGAGGAACACGGCCCTCTTCTCAGTTCTCTCTCGCACGCGCGTACGCGTGTGAGCTCGCCGTGAGAAAAATCTAATCCGTGGACCCGAGGGATTCATTGGGATTCATCAGCGGGGGTCCGGATCCGCACCGGTCGCCCGCGCGACCCCCCCTGGGGGGAGGGCTCCGTTGACTCCTGGATCATCTTCTCTACTTGCGCTCCGAATACGGAAACGGGCGATTCCTCCTCCCTCCCCCGGCTCTCCCCCCCTCCCCAGCGAATGACACATCTCGGTGGAACGAACCGAAATCGTAAACCGTAAATAATAGCCGTCAAATTAGAGATAGATTCCGTAGATATATATCTGTCGTATCGCGGTATGTTTGACACTTTCCTGTTGACAAATCTTTATTTTATATATGTCCCTCTTTCTCTTTCCTGTATTAAAGTGAAATCGGTGTTACATTTTTGATTGTTTTTGCAGGAGGATAGCAAGAATGTCTGTGCCACCACCGCCACCGCCTCCGCAGGCTGGCGCTTCTGCTGGCCCGCCGATGGGTGATAACAGAGGTTTATTACTACAATCTATAAGAGCAGGCAAAACTCTGAAGAAGACTGTTACCGTGGATAAGAGCGTACCTGCAATCGCTGGTAAATTATCGGAATTAAATTATATACGCTAAGGACTGTGTTCGTAACTTCATAGAATGGCATTCATAATCGATTCTTATATTTAAGACTGTCTTAAGTGCAGTCTTTAAATGTCGTAAGCTAATCAGAAGGCTGTATCAGCATCTTAAGACATTACTTAAGATGCTGATCTTAAGATATTATTAAAGAACTATCCATACCGTCCCTAGTTCGTTCTTATTTTAAGACCATCTTTAATAATAATGTCTTAAGATGCTAATATTGCTCTCTGGATGATATTTATTGACGGTTCTTACTGTAAGACTACCTTAAGTAATGTCTTAAGATAATCTAAGAGGTTAATACAATTTTGTTGCCAATATCCATTTATTTCAAGTCTTAAGTAATAAAAGTCATGTCTCAAGATGTTTTTATGTATTCTATGATTGATTCACGACTTGAAACTACTCAAGACAGTCTTAAATATTCGAATCAACTATAAATATCAGCCCAAGCAAGAGCATGTGATAGACAATGATCGACTATTGTGTCATTTATGGAAAGTCCCTGGTAATGCATGTAATTGCGCAAACAATATAATTTTAATTGTTTTTCATATATGACAAGAATATTTGCCCACACTTTTATCTATTACTTGCTTGCGTTTTAAGTTTTCCAGTAAAAGATATAGCAAAATTAATAGTTGTTGTTTGTCAGTATTAAATAAAGATGAAATGATTCACTGTTTCACACTGGCTGCTTTCCTGTTAAGAGATACAGTCGACGTAAGCGTCATTTTATTTCTTATTCATTGAATACCAAAGAAGGATTCATTGAATACCAAGAAGGATAGATTAATTGATGTTTGTGTCGTCTATGTCTCCAAAAGGAAATCAGCCAGAGTAATACAGCGAATTATTTCATCTTTGTTTAACATTGGTAAACAACAAGGATATTTCACTGTGTTACACAGTGTCGTCTGTTGCTAAAAAGCATCTTAGGTCTGCATACAACTATTAAATTCAAAAACAAAAATGTATAAAGCGATTGTTGTGAAAAGTCAGGAACTATAATGAGAAACATTTGTTTCGCAGGGAGAATAAAAGGCGAATCGTCGAGCTCTTCGTTAAGCAATAACAGTAGTAGAACTAATAGTTCTAATGCAATCAGCAGCAGCAGCAGTTCTAATTCTAGTAATGGTGGGCCCATGTCGCTCGGCGGTTTATTCGCGGGTGGTATGCCAAAATTAAAACCTACAGGACTGAGAGGACACATGACCGAGAAAGAGGGACAAAGTGTAAATAATTCTAGTTTTCTTCACTCGTCACCCGGGTCGTCCCACAGTGTAAAACGCGGCCCGCCACCAGTTCCGCCACCAGCCGCGCAGAAACCGCAGTTATTCAGTCAGGTAGAAAACGACCTGCTTAACCGGTTCTCACGTATATCGTGCATATACTGTAAAAATGTTTAATCTCGCACAGGGGCAAAGCAGCACCGATTCCGCGACGAGCACTCCGGAGGTCACGCCCAGAGGATTCGGGAAATCAACCATTGTGCCTAAACCAGTGTCTGCCACCTTGCACAAACCGTCACCGCCGCCTAAAAAGCTGAATTTAACGAGTAGCGCGAGCGTAGCGAGAGCACAAAGCATGCGATTACCGCGATCGCCACCGGTCCTGGTGCCAACAACACCATCTTCTCTGCACCAGTCGCAGGATTGTTTGAATGAGGCCACCACGCCGCAGCCCATGAGACCCGTGAATAGAATTCTCAGGCCTCCCGTGACGAGGCCACCGTCACCGCCGATCTCGCGAGTGATCGTGCCTACAGCGAGACCATCATCGCCGCCAGCACCACCGGCCTCGCGGTCACACACGTTGCCTGTGACAGCCATGAGAGCGGCGCCGCCGCCACCGTCGAGAATTACGGTGACCGCGCCATGTATGCCACCACCACCACCACCGCTTCCTCATCGTCCCGCACCCACGCATCAAAGACTAGCACCGCCGCCGCCCCCGCCACCGACGCCTCCTACTAGAAGTCTGTCGGTCCGCAACGGCGGCGTTCAAGCTGGTTCTGTCGACTTGGAAACGCGATTTGCTGACATGTTTCATACTGTGTCAAGTTTTCCGCCGCCAGAACCCTTCAGGGGCTTCACCAAGGTTTATAGTAGCAGGAATGGTAAGAATACTGGGCCCAAAAAATTCTTTGATTTGTTTCTACGCACCTGACGCTTGAGATAATGAGTTTTATACATTTTTCTTTTAGTTATAAAACTAAACAAACGGTGCTTTCTACATTGCCGGCCATTCCTACCCGTATCTTTTAATCGTATCCTGAATACGTGCATGTTGCCAAAATTTATTACTACATTCCCTCGTGGGATGCATATATAACTCATACGTATATTTTAATAAATATACGAAACATGATACACCATACACGGCACATTGTTTATGATATTGTTTTTCAAGGTTTCTTTCAAAGCATTAACTTCCGTTGACGCTGCTTCTCTATCTTCCAGAACAATATAGACATGAAGACATTAAACGCGTATGACACAAACAGCTTATATTTGTTTATAACCAGAGATGAATTCATTAAATTGCATGCTGCTAATTGCACTTTTATGGATATTCATAATGGAATTTATAAGTTCGTACATTGATTCGTTCGAAAAGTAATCGTGACATTTCAAAAATTACAGCAGCAAAACAACAAGCACCAGCTCCTCCACTTCAATCGTCTTCTACTCCTAGCACACTGCATTCGTTAAATACTTCGTCTGGGAGTAAACAGTGGCAACACAATGCGACTTCTTTGGCATATTGAAATCTGTGCATACTTAAATCATTGCTCCGTGCATTGATTATTGTTTAAACACTTCTCGATGCTGCCACAATAAAATAAAATATTAAGTGAGCGTGAAAAGGTGTGAATCGGCAGAGTATAAAAAGTTTGAGCGAAAGAGATTCCGAATTCGCGAACCCAGTTATACAATAAAACGTTTTAGACAATATTTTCTGTACAGTTTATCTTAGAAGAAAGAATATATTTAATATAGATTATAATTACACATATATATACATATATATATATATATGTATATAAAAAATATATATTTTATATATATGTACATGTGTGTGTATATATATATATATACATATACATACATATATATAAAAAGAATCGTTAACTTTAAGTCTGTTATAATCTTACAAAAATCTATAAAAGAGATTTAAGCGGAAGGCACATTTATTTTCATTCTAAAAACAACGTACTCGTTTATTTCTTTTAATCGTTGTATTATATTTTTCCTATTTTTATCTTTGTAAACTTAATAAATATCAGATCAAAATGATTAATTCAGAACATCGTATACATTGTATCGATGTATGAAGATTCATCGGTCATTGATAGTTATTTAGACATTAACAAAGGCCAAAATATATAAACATGCAACTTATTTTTCAATACTGATAAACGATTGCACATACATACACAAATAGCAGCAATTCGTTGACTTAAGAATATTGTATATTAATATTGTATAATAAAAATACAATCTTTATATAAATACATGCAGGATATATGGTACTAGATATATTCTCAAATGAAATAGAAGATACTTTTATCTAACAATATCTTTTATTACTTTCTTTATAATGGTAATATTAAATGTGTAAATCTTCAAATTCTATTGCATATCAACTGTCATAGTCGAACGGTTTGTTTTAATACAATGCATTTTAAAGAACGATAAATACAAATATCTTTGTAATGACATTCTTCTTTGAGAGTTACATTCTGTAGTTATCAAAAAAGAGAGACGTGTTAAATTAATAAATAAATCGTGCGCATAATTGTCTATATTTGTTTCGAGGAAAAGCATTTAAAAAATAAATAAGATACCTTTGGCGATGAAATGTCTCGAAAGAAAGTAAATAATAGTCGTGTGATACAATTTTAGTTAATTAAAGGGGATACTCCTTTTGTCGTATAATGCATTACTTGATATAGGATCTCTTTCACTAACCTCGGTTAAATTAACCGACAGTTACATGGGGCTCATTTAGGTCCAGTTTGACAACTTAACTTTTAACCGAGGTTTAACTTATTTTAAGTAATAATGAGTAATAATTGTGAAATTCGTCCTAAATGAACCCCATGTAACCGTCGGTTAACTTAACCGAGGTTGACGAAAGAGATCCATAGAACAACGTAAGATGACATTAATATCACATTAGACAAAACTTAACTTTTTTTATAATTCAAGCTCCTTTTCAATAATCCTGCGATATTCATCAAAACCTTCTTCGATACAGCGAACTGATCCTTCTCCGCAAACCCACAATTCTGTACAAACCATTTGGATTAAACGTTCGTCGTGCGACACCAATATCACACCAGCCTGCAACAATAAAATATTAATTGAACTATAAACACACAATTGCAGATATGCGAAATGAAGGATTTTGAAATTGAGTCTTATTGACAATCGTCATAAAAATTAGTAATACTCACTTGGCAGTTGTTGAGGGCTTTACCTAATGCTTCGATCGATTCGATATCGAGATGATTCGTAGGTTCATCAAGCACTAAGAAATTCGGCATTGCGGCACACATCAAGGCGAACGCTACCCTCGACTTCTGCCCTCCCGAAAGAGAATTTATGACTTGCAAAGCTAAATTACCGCTTATACCGAAACTGCCAAGCATTCGCCTATATTCCTCGATTGGTTTACCTGCCAGAACGAACACAGTGTTAAATTTCTTAAATGGGCCTCGTGTCCGTTTTGTATCGCGAATACGTACCAGGAAAATGTGTTTGTAACAATTCGACAGGACAAACACGCATGTCCAGTTGATCGACGTGGTGCTGACTGAAATATCCAAATTTCAGATTTCGATGTACATGCACCGTACCCCGCGTCGGGCTCAACGCGCCCGTGATAATTTTCAAGAGGGTAGTTTTACCAGCACCATTCTCTCCAACGATACAAATGCGCGATTGCAAACTGGCAGTAAGATTCACATTGCTAAACACCATGTCGGTCCCGTTGTAACTATATGAGATTTCATTGAGTTGCAATATCGGTGGACTTAGCGGTTCGACATCGGGGAAATTGAGGGTTACTTCGCTCTCCTTCTCCATTGGCTTTAATTCAGGTCTGTCAAATAACAGACAAAAAAAATGTTAGGTAAATTTCGATCGTAAACTAACGAATTATTATCCGTGCGATCAAATCGTTAGACTTACAATTTCTCTAACATCTTTATCTTGCTTTGTACACTAGACGCGCGATTCGCATTGTATCTAAATCTATCGATAAATTCTTGTACATGCGCTCTCTTCGCCTGTTGAGCCTCGTACTCTCGTTGTTGATTTCTCTCGCGTTCGCCTTTCGTTTTCACAAATTGTTCGTAATTGCCACGATACGGCTCTATTTTTTGTCCACGCAAATACAGGATATCGGTGGGTACCTGTTGAAGAGGTAAAGATAAGTATGTATATTTATAGCGAAAAAATTGTTTAATCGTCACATCAATTAATTTTTTAAATTTTTTTTGAAAATGAAGGCATTAATCTCTCGCCAACATATCTTTAAATCATTGATATTTGATTGTAAATTATGATAAATTTAAATTTGTAAAAAATAAATAAAATACATCTGATTTCTATGATGGTAGAAACTAGTTAAAAATTTGATCAAATTTTTTTATGTAATCCGGGACAATAACAAAATTTGCTCTGTTTTTCGAAGACCTCTATTGCTGACAAAAGAGTTAAAATTCCATGTTGCGGAGAATTCCATTATTAACATATCTCTCTTAGCTAAATACGTAATACTCACAGTGTCTAAAAATTTTCGGTCGTGCGACACTACGAGTAACGTTTTCGGCCACGTTTGTAGATACTTTTCTAACCATAATATTGCTTTGATATCAAGCATGTTCGTCGGTTCGTCAAGTAGCAACAAGTCTGGCTTGGAGAATAGTGCCCTCGCGAGAGCGAGCCTCATCCGCCAGCCGCCGGAGAATGCTTTGGTCGGCCAGGATTGCTTCTCAACGGAGAATCCAAGTCCTGATAGGATCGCACTTGCTCTAGCAGGCGCCTTGTCGACCTCGGCTAACTGCATCGCCTCATATACTCGGGCCAATTCCTCACCTAACGCATCGCCCGTCTTGGAACCATCCTTTTCTATCGCTGCTTGCAGTTTCGCCTCTTGACTAAGTAACGTGCTTCGTTCCTGATCGCATTCTAGAACGGACTCGAGCGCTGACGTGTCGTCGCCAGCTACTTCCTGCTCGACGTGCAACACTCGCACGTGCGATGGTATTCTTAGCTGTTTGCTAAAATCAATCGGGACTGATAATAATTAGAGATATCATTTCCCAGAAAATAGGCTGAAGTTATTTGACATTAAAATGATGTTTTTAACACATTTAACGTTTTTAATATATTTGACATTTGCTTGTTTGGGAAACGACTTATGATATATCGCCATAATACCTTGATATCATTCGAAGCAAGGTGGTTTTGCCAAGTCCATTTCTACCAATCAGCCCGTACCGTCTGCCAAATGCAAGCGTCAAGTCAGCACCTTGCAACAAGACTCTATCGCCATAAGCGACATCAAAGTTCTCTATTCTGATATCCTGGGTTTTGTTCACCCCACCTTTTGTCTCCATCCGACTATCTTTCTTACTTGTCATTTGACTGGCACTGGCGGCGCTTTCAGCCGCATTATTGGCAGTGTTAATACGGGAAGCCGATCCTTGCTCATTTACGATTCGTTTTTCCTGTTTCTGTTGCAACTTGGCCTCGGCTTTCTCCAGCTTCTTAGCATCTACTTTCTGTCACAATAACGAGCAAGATTAACATACAAATAACACCTAGAAATAATTAATCTTCTGTTTGTAATCACATTTTTCCTCCACCCACCTCAAGTTCTCTCTCTTTTACTATTACAAAAATTTTTTTTTTTAATATGAAAAAATCAGGCCCACTTTTCAATATTTTTATTACATTACCAAATAGTTTTTTAACAAGATATTTTAAGAAAGAATTCTGCCCCCCCCCCCTTTATTTTGGAAACTTGAGAAGTAAAATTTCACTCGTGTCAAAAGAAATCCAAAGATTGCAGATAAAGTTAAATGTAAAATTAATGAGTGATACAAGTTGACACAAATGATATATCATCTTTATTATTTAATAAATATTAAAAAAGACAGAATAACTGTTTCACTAAATGGAAAGCACTCAGTAATATACAAATAGATAAAAATACAATAAAAGATGAGAACAATCTACGCAAGTAGCATAATATATTCTTTATTTAAAATAGATGAAATACAACTATACATTACCATTACATCGTCCCTAGTTGTAACCCATATACTCTTAATCTGCTCAACTTGTGCTTCCAAGGTAGCAGCCAACGAGCCCAGATGCACCGGAGCATTTAATACTTTGTTAACGCCGTTTTTTCTCCTGTCTATGTCATCATCATTGTTTGAACTACCTTTCAATATTTCTAATAGCCTCACGCATATTTGCCTGTAAACAGAGAACGAGATACAATGAATTAATCTACTACCAAGAAGCAATAAATCTTACAATATTTTTTAATACAACGAATGAAGAAAAACATGATAAGACTTCCGAATATAAGAACAATTTTGTTGATCAGTGTTAATTATGGTAAATTCGATCACTCGCACTACACTGGATTAGAATTGAAGACTACTTTATATAAAGTATCTAAAAGATCCGTTAATAAATCAAACTAATCAAGACTCCTTACAAATCAAAGAATTGGAAAGAGTAAGGACACTAGGAGTCAGGCGCAGAAGACGTCGCGCAAATAATACACTTATAAAGAATGAAACTTTTTTATTCACTAAACGCGCTTACATGTTTCGACTCATTTTTGAGCCTTCCTCAGAGCAAACACACACTAACATATATAAAGTAAAAGTTATCCTGTCATGGTGAGCTCCCTTACATCGAGAATTTCAATGCCAGAATTAAATAAAAAGAAAAG